GACCAAACCATCCAGTATTTCAGTATTCCATCTGTTTAAAAAAAGTAAGTGCTTTTTTTTTTAAACAAAGCTAATTATCCAGGAAAATGAAGAGGCATAGGCTCAAACTTATTTCTATAAGAAATGAACGTTACGGCACATTTATTTGGCGCATACATCTGTTTTTGGGAAGGGGAAAAACTCTTCCAAAGGACTAATAAATTCTCTTTACTGTTAATATAATAATCTTCCCAGATGATCTACTTTGGTGCCTCTGTAACTCTGCTACTGGTAAAATAAGTTTGGTACCAGGTTTTTTTTTCCTTCCTTAGTCTTTCGTTAGGACTCCAGGTGGGCATTGTCCAAGGCCTAATGAGTTTTTAGAAGGGTTTGAAAAGTAGGACAAATTAACAAGGCTTGTCTTAAGCATGATTCTGTATCGTTACAGTAACTTCATACAACAGGGTGAAAGAGCATAAATAATGGTTTCCAGAAACGTACAATTTTTGTTCTTGTTGCACGAGTCTGAACTGATTTAGGGGCCACATCTTAATCCAGAAAGTTGCAATGGGCTTTTGGACGGTTTTTTGACATCTATTTCTAGCTTTTAAATTTTATGATTAGCTTCCTAAATATTTAGACAGCGGATATCTGAAGTTCGTAGATAGTCTAAAGCAACAGCTGTTTAGTTAAACATATTCAGTCTCTTTAAAGAATAAGGCCTCTAAGATGCTTCTAACAACTACATGCACGGACTGCTTTATGCCACTGTAGCAAAGCCTGTTCTTACCCCATTGTCCTAAGGCATCTGCTGTGCTTTTGTGTGTGGTAAATCCACTGCCACGTTGCCAAAAGCTATTTTTTTACAGCTGTTTGTTTGCAGTACAATTGTAGTGTAAACTTTTATGATTGAGGGAAGTTAAAAGTTGATTCAGTATCAGACTAATAAGCAATAAGTACCTGTTGATTTTTAATGTCCTGTTGTAGCCTTCGATAAATTGAACTGTATCTACTTACTTAAAAAAATACTCAAAAGGGAATTTTTAATCTCTTAATTTGTACAACCTGATTATTTTTCATGTGTTTAGTCATATTTGCAGGGAAAAATATTTCTCTTGGAGTCAGTCATGGGAAAAACCCACAACAGTGTTAATAACTTCGCAGAGCAGGATAAATATGTCACTGTTTTAAGTACCCAGTAATAGTCGCTTAATTTCTCTAAACTGCCTGAAACTGCTGCTGCTGTGCCTGTTCTGCTGGCCTCCTGGTGCACGGGATGCGCGAGCTGTGCACACGGGGGACTGCAGCAGTTTACCGACGGCAGGCAGATGTTGACATTGCCAAAAGGCAGATGTTTTAGAAGCCCCGTGTAAACTAAAACCTCAAACAAGCATTCCTGCGTACAGCAACAGCTCACTGGGGTCTTTGCTGCTTCTAGCTGTTAGTGACCTTTTTTTTTTTTGTCTCTCAAACCAGATTTCTTCAGTCAGCACAGACCACTCAGGCCGCTGAGGATGACTCCTGGAAGGATGGGTGTTACTGACACCCCAAAATGCCGATGCACTGCCAAACTCCTCTGTGAAGCAGACCCCCCAGCTGGCTGGGCATAAGAACGTTATTTGAAACTGAAACTCCAGAGACCCGTCGCACTGCGGACTGACGTGTATAGTTCCTCGCCTCTTGAATGCGAACTATCCTTACCTTCTGCTGTTCTGCCAAGAGCCTGACCTCTTAGTGGTGGAACGGACAACAACTGCTTTACTGTGTTTCCACTGTTCCAAACATTTCTGGAATACGAGTCTTCGCGTGAAGACTGAAAATAGCCTTATTTCATACAAACCTCTACTTGCAGCCCTTTGGAAGGCTTGTCACAAAAAACTTCTCAGGTGACCCGCTCCTGAGGATGCTTGCTTAAAAAGGCTGCTGGGTGTCCTGTTTGTGCCAGAAAGCGGCTTCGAGCTGTTGCTATGGTGTGTGGCATAGCAGTGGCTTGGGGAGACTAGAAATAGTGACATAGATGTTAGAAGTAAGACTTTTTAAATTCAACCTGATGTACTCTAATATTTGTCTGAAACTCAACTGTTTGGGGTTTTTTTTTTTTTTTTTTTTTACTTCTGTATAGAATGTATTTCTGCTACTTTTTATTGTTTGTTCTAGAAGATGAAGCAGGTTTTTATAACTGTAGTACACTTCCAGCTGTTGTATTCAAGTGTGTGCATCACAGTTCACAAGTGAAGGAGCAGTACACAATATTTGTGTGGGTTTGTGAACGGGCAGTTGCAGGGACAGGGGATGCGACTTAAAAAACCTGCAGTTTATCAGCATCTTCATATCTCAGATGAGGAAGTTAACAAACACCAGTTACGCTTTTTAAAGATAACCCTCCATGACTGATTTGACTTGAAGTGTTTCCTGTTGATCTCCTGACTGCCCTGACTTTTGTAGGTTTTCTACTGTCTCTCTGGCTATGAAGGATTCCGTTTCAGTGTCCTTTTCCTCGGCAAGTGCTGGATGCTATGAATACAGTCTTAGTACAGAAAAGATGCACTGATAGCAACGTTCTCCCTGCCATCAATGTGACTTTGATAGTGTAGTTTAATAAAATGTTATGGTGCTGAAACAGATCTGCTTTATTCAAACAGCGAGCCTGACTTTTGAGTGTGTTTTGTGCTAGGAGCGAGGCTTTTCATGACCGGCCCAGCCGTACAGACGTCTGCTTCTGCACTTCAGCTTCTGTTTCGTACGAATGAGGTGGGTAGTTAGGCAAAGGAAAACTTAATTCACAGCCCTTGGTTCACGTCTTTTCTAGGAGAACATCCACAAGTGGCCTAAGCAGAACAAAATATAGGTAGGAAACAACACTCACAAATAGGAAGCTCTGCAGGATGCTTTACAGCCGAGATCACTTTTTGCATCGTTTGCTTTAGAAAGGAAAAAAAAAAAAAGAGGAAGAGACAGCTGGTATCAAACTGCTGTTTCAGACTGGCTGGTGCATACGTTCCCGTAGCACCCAGTCACTTCACCTAGAAGGACAACACTAGCGCAGGACTGAGTCTGTGATTAGCTGACTCTTCTCAGCCCCTTGTAGGCACACAACGGGAGCTTTCAGCATTGGGTGCGTAAGCTTTGAGACCAAGGTCAGGTTTGTCGCCTCTTGAGAGAGGCATCTGTAAGCTAGGAGCTGCAAAGGAGCAAGGGTTTCTTTCTCATGTTCCATTTGCTCATGAATATCAATGTTTTGCTATAGACTTCTTAAGACAGAGCTGTATACCATTAAAATAACCCTCTTTTACTTCAGAGCAGCTTTGTAAATCTCAGAGCCGGTTCCACCTTGTTGAAAGGCTCTTGTTAAGAGCACTGTTACAGTTGAGAGAAGAGGCTGAACTGGAGCTGACTAGAAACACCTCCCTTCCACCTGTGAAGGCATCGGAGACGACTGTTTTTACACAAACAAACAGGCTTCTCCCTACCCCCAGTAAAGCTTTGCAGGTTTACAGCACTGTCCTGGCTAAGGCTCCTCCTTTATGGAGAAGGTTCTTTTCTAGTAACTTCTGCCTGGTGGAAGAGCTGGAACCTGGTCACACTGAACTTAGTCACCTTCCCAGTGTGGAGAAAGATAAAAGACCGACAAGGCTTCAGTTCGATTCCTCTAGCGTCTGAGTTCACCTTTTGTCTTTACTGTGGTCTACATCCCAAAGGTAAGAGCATGCCTGCGTTTTCCAGGCAGTGCATTTCCCTGCAGCCTCCGAAGTCGAGACAGCTGCTGCTATTTAATGGATGCTTAACAGATATTCAATGCTAGGTAAAGAACAAAAAAGGAAAATGCTTGAAGAGTTTAAAGGTTATATTCTAGTTAAGGCCTATCAGGCATGTGAAGAACTGCACAATAGATGCAGAGAGACAGATCTGGATACGCGTTTCTAGACGGACCAGAGGCTAAAAAGAGAAGTAAGCAAAAAGGTGACCGGGGCCTTATTCCGAGGTTAGCTTCTGCTGGAATTCATGAGCATCTGAAACACAACCCTGATACTGACACACACTTGAGGACAGCTGTCCCATGTCAGGAGAGGCCGCGTTTGCTTCTGGGCCATAGATCAGGAACATTAAACACAAAACCCAGCTCTGTAAGAACTATCACACTAATGAGACGATAACGTAAGTTTTATCCTTTCATTTTTCTACGCTGTTCTCATACCAAGTGATCTTCTTTCAGGTTTTCATATTCTGTATCATCCTGAGCCCTAGCAGGTATCATTAGAATGCAACTTTGCCTCAAACCAAGATAACAATCACCTGAACTCAAACAGTTTCTGCAAGTTTAAGAGGAAATCCAACTCCCTCATAGCGATGCATGAGCCTGCTTCCAGCAACACCTAACACAACATCAGCGTTTAACCTTCCTGAGGTAGATGAAAGGCTACGGAGTTTTTAGAGAGGCTCTAGTGCAAGACAGCGAGCAGTAAATCAGTCTGTAGGATGAACTCCTCTAGAAAGAGTGGGTTCTTCCCAGCTACCCATGGAGAAGAGGAAAGGGGTCCGTTACTAGGGATTGCCCTCAAGACAGCGGGGTTTTGTATCACTGAAAATCGCCTTAAAATACAAGTTCTTACACAGACATTCATTCAGCTTCCACAGGGTAACTCCACTGCCTGTCTCACCACTCTTCCTTCTGTATTCTCTCCACCCACACGTGCTCTGAGCAAGCAGGCGCCTTGTCCCCTTTGTCCCAGGCTCCGAGTTCACAACCAGGAGAAGCAGATTCTTACCCCCCTCAAGTCACAACAGGCTCCATCCAGCACCTGCACCCAAACGTAAGCCAAAATCCTTCCAAAGCCGAGAGGTTTCACACCTATTTATTTCACAGCAGGACTGCTACCTGCCGTTTCTCCAAGCCTGGAGCTGCAGCGTTACAGAGGGGGTGACCCACCCCCAGGCACACGCTGCTCTCACAGAGTAGTTCCTACCCACAGTCTACACCTAGCGCCAGACCCACCTCTCACGACACTAAAGAACTCTGCGTTCTGTACAGTAATTTTATTTAAATCAAGTTAACTTTGTTTTTACACTAATGCCTCAGTGCATCCTTTAAAAGGGAAGGAAGTATTTTCTTTAAAAAGTATTTGTACATAAGACAACAAATCATAGAAATGAACACAGTAACATCAACAATCCCTAAAACATGCACAATTGTACACTGAACTGTGGGCGGCTGTAAGAGCAGGAGGTAAGAGGAAGGAAATCTTTCTCCAAGCTTTACATTCAATTAACACAAACGGGAACGGATGCCAGCGAGCGCAGTGCTGATCAGACCCACTGACGCTGTCTGGGTATCGAGACCCGATTACCCTTAGTTAAGTTTCAGCCTAGTAGAAGACGAATCCAAATCGGCATCCTAAGTTTACAGGAGAACTCTCCATCTGGCACCTGCTGGAAAGCTCCAAGGTCAGCGTAACGTACACCAGGAAAAGCACGTGCAGGAGCAGCAGTTTCATGTCGCTGCCCGGCCCCTGGCAAGCCTGTGCTGCAGGGCGCAGGGAGCCCGCGGCACCAACCGGGGGCTCGAGTTTAGTCACCAAATTAAGCCTCCCCTTCCCATACCTCGACAGCTTCCACCCACCATGAGAAGCCGCTTCCCTGGGTCAAAAAGATGCAGCTTCCTTCGTGGACCATCTGATGCTTTTATGAGATTTCAGTTGTTTCTATTTCTTCTCTGGGAAACGAGCCTGTAAGATACAAGACAAAGTCCCTACACCCTCACCCAGGCGACAACAGCTTTGGCTCCGGTCAGCCAGGACTGGCCGGACCATTCAGCTGTCCAGCTGGGACAGAAATAACAGCGTTCACAGCTCCCAACAGCAGGCAAAGCAGTCCCCGTCCTCTGACGGCAGCACATCATCGGCATACTTGATCCTACATTTGGTTATTAGCCTTGGGTTTGGTTTTGGGGTTTTTTTCATGTTTTTCTTTTCAGAGGAGTACGTGTTACTACATCCTCTGAAAGAGCCTTTCTTCTTCAGGCCATAGAGAAAGTAACCACCCATCAACCCCAACTTTCTGTCCCTTCTCCGTCCTCGGTTTTTAGCACACACCTTCAGAGTAGAAGCACAAGCAGCAGATACCTGACACCTTACCAAGCCAGATCAACAGATTGGCCCCCAATTTCACCTTAGCAAGTGATAACGTTAGTATTCATTTTAGCCCACCCTCAAAAGAGGAACAGGAGAAATAACATGTGAGAAAGCAGATACATTACTGCAACCTTAACCATACGCAACCATCTCCTTTACTGTGTTGATTTAGCCACAAATTAAGGGGCTGGGGGGGAAGATGAGGAAGAAGTGAGGATGAAGAGGCAGCCATTTCAAAACGCTGAGGTGGCCCAACGCCCTCTCCTACCACCTGCAGAAAGACCTCCAGGAAAAGGGAGATTTCATACAGAAGCAGCACCGCCCACATCTTACAGTGCGTAAAGCCCCAGCCCAAAAGCCTTTCTTTTTGTTACTACCAAGACTGCGCTTGCAACCTCTACGTGCTGAAACCCTACGGGCCCACACGAGGCCGGACGTGCAGGGAGAGGCACCTGGGTCTCCAATATTTGTAGAAAGTGGAAATTCACACTACACCTATCTTGTCCCTCCCCCGTTAGTTTGGCGCAGCCCACCCTGAACTACCCTCCAACACCATCCTCATGGGTAGGATGGTTGCTAGCAGTACTGCTCTCCACTTGCACGCTCACATGAAAGTGCAAAGCTACACGGACACACGGGCGAGCATGCACATAACCCTCCAGAGCTGGACGTGCCGCCCACCCAGCCGAGAAGGTTGGAGCTGGGACAGGAAAAGAAACAAAAAAAATCCCCCTTCAAGTAATTCAAACCAGCCCGTTCTTCAGGTTACAGCTGCACAGAAGCAGTGACCAGCTGGGCCTGTTTGGGGTGATAAGGCAAAAAAGTCTGAAGTCCCGGCGGGATGGAAGAATGAGAAGGTGTCAGTAGTGAAAGATTAAGAGTTATTCTGCAGATTGCTTCTTCACACTCCTGTGATTCTCATCTCCAAGTGACCAGCACCAGCTGCCTCCAGTTACTTCTGCACACAGCTCGGCCACGCAAGCCCACCACAGGCAGCCGATAGAATGATATAGATGATTACCTGGAGAAAGAAAACAGCCACCTCAGGAGAGAATTACACTTCCATCGTTCAGCCAACTGCTGACTTGGCCTGGCAATCAAAACACAAGCTTGGAAACCCCAGGTTATCAAAACCCTAAATAACTTGTCAAACGCCCTACAGGACTTTGTGCCAGTTCCTCTTCCTCCACATCCCTGCAGCAACGTGGGGATGAGAACTGTCCTCCAGCGAAACGTGAACGAGGGCTCAGTGGCGACAAAGTACTTCACACGTCTAACCTGCAAGTACACTTCAGCATCCTCACGTTAGCACTGTTTGCATTTATTACAGGCTGGGGGTACACCGTCACATCGAAAGAAGCTACTTTCAAGTTAAGTATCAAGATAGCAACAGGACCAAGGCCTAAAAAGCTGTTAGAGAGAGAGCAGCCATAAACTCAAAACCTTCGCTTCTAACGGAGCTAGCGAGGCAGCCGTCTACGATGGGCACTTAGAAGCTAGACAGCGCTGTCTGGAAAGCTGTTCCTGTTGCCTTGACAGGAAAAGCTGCCTGGCACGATGCTCCTCTCTCCTCACCTCACACAAGACCATTAAAACACTTGTTTTACAGCTAAAACCCTTCCAGGCACAGAGCTGAGTACATGCGGGTCCAAAGACAGTAATATGCTGTCGGTGTTTTCCAGTAGTTAAGTCTGACTTAAGAGCTAAAGGTTATTGTGCTCCATACTTACAATTGATACAATGATGATGACGATGGTAAGCTTGAGGTTCTTCATACACATGGCTCTAGCAAGGTTCCTGCTGGTAGTTTTGAAAGTGACTGACTACAAGAGAAAGTAAAACAACTAATTAATTCCTGAACCTGCTGCAAAGGAAGCTGCATCCCAAGGAGCTAGACGGAGAGGCTTTTCCCAGCTACTACCTCCCCAATAACCCAAACCACTGCAGTTATCTCCTCCAGAGCCACTTAACTCCTGCAGTTACACTAATACAAAACTGAACAGCCATCAAGAGAAAACTCTCCCACGCTACTTCAGGGGCAAGGTGAAGCGTAAGGGTAAGTCCAGAACCAGCTCGGGGTTGTGCCTTCCCACGCTCAGCTTGGGAGAACGAAACACAGAACATCGCCGGGTCCGTAGGCTGCCCACAAGGATTCGTTTACCTTAGAGTACTTCTGGTTGGGTTCTCGTTTGACTTCCAACCTTTTGGGAACTGAAGTGCTCCAAAATATTTACGGAACTACTGATCTAATCACCAACATATTACCTGCAACTTTATCACTGTAAATACACCTGCTGAAATGAGACAACCCACATTGCTACTCTCGACAGCAGTTCCACAGGGGCTAGACAAGTCCTTCAATGCTAGAACTTTCCTCCAGTATTTGGGCTTGCTGCATTTTATGGAAAGCTTGTGGTCGCCCTGTTCCAAGTCTCCTCCCTGTCCCCTGCAGTTCCACCCATTCAAAACAAGTTTCGGTCACCAAACGAGCTCCAACACCCACCAGGCTGTATTAGCGCAACTATTGTCACACGCCTTCCCCGAGCAGCTCGTGCAAGGATGTGCCTGCCCAGGGATCGGCTGCAGCTCCCAGAAGAAGCCAACTCGGCAGCACACTCTGCTGGTTATTTTCAGGTTTTCCCCACAAACCACCCCCCAACTTTTTCAGAGAAGGCTACGCCAGGCAGAACTGCATCCCTATGAACTGCAATTTTGACTTAAAGCCGATTCCCCCTGCTCAGCCACCACCTGAACTTTGGGACCACTTCTCTTGCCCAGCTGTGCAGTTTCTACCTGTGGAAGCAGACTGCTGGATACCAGCACACCTCACCTCAGCCCAGACTAGTTCTCCAGAGGACAGGGCTACTCCGACCACCAGCTTCTTCGGACCTCCCTCTCAAAAGGGGGCCCTCGCCACTGCTGCTAGGAGGGTTTATGTACAATATTCTGGTGGTCAAGGCTCATACAGGAGTGATAAAACACAGTCCATTACTCTGAAGTTTGAGAGCTTCAGCCCTGGCCCTCCTAGGATACTCGCCATCGGGCTGTAAGACATTCACACTAGAGGCATATCCCATTGCTTTATTTTCTGCATGGTTTCCAAAAACCAGCACTCCCTGGGAGAGCTCGTACATGAATTCAGTCTAATTGCTGAAGGAATTCCAGCCCATTTGTCTAAAGCACTACCTGAGGTTAGACTACTTGCCACCACCTGAGGAAGTGGTGAGGTTTAAACACCTGATAGCTGGAGGACAGTATTCCCTACCGGCTAAGCTCCGGGCATCTCTACTATCTCTCTAAAGCATGAATACTTTTTCCCAGCTCAGAGATGTTTGGATCTCCACAAGCCCCATACAGGAGACACTGGCACTCTGCTGGGTTGGGGAAGCCAGGACTCTGCAGAGGAGGATGCTGAGCCAGGTCTAGGGATTCCCAGAGGAAAGAAGAAAGAGCTTCCAGCGTGTACGACACTTTACTAGATAACATAATGCTTTACAATTACATTAAATTTGGGGTTTTCCAGTCTCTTCTCACTTAGAAACACTCCATGAAACTCCAGAGTCTTTTACAGTCTATTTAGGTGGAACAACTCAGCTTTTCCCCCACCCCCTCAAAACTCAGCTACACTTTCCCTGTTGGTATACTACTAGAACAACTCTACAAATTAACATGTTTCCAGTTTATCTGCATCAAGCAGCCTGGTCTGAAGTCAGCAAGAGAAGTTTTAATTATGATCTTTAGCTTTCCTATCGCTCCAGACAGAGTGGGTTTTCCCCCCCTTGGGCACAAGGGATGAGGACAAGAAACACCACCGCTTGTGCTGGCAGCGTGTTAGCCCGTGCATTGGTTGTAGCAAAGGGGAGCAAGCTGAAGATGGTTCTTTAACAGGATGGGGCAGCTGGTCCTTGGGAGCAGAGCATTTGGTCAGCAGTGCAGCCTAGTATTTAGCAGACACTCACAAATCCCACCAGTACCGGCAGGACACAGAACAGAGGTGCACGGGATCCCTTCATTCTCTTAAAGGAGCTGCAAGGCTGGGATGCTGCTTGTGAAACAGCTGTAAGGAAGGGGGGAAATAAGGCAGGACTTGTGTCTGACGCAGGGAAGGATTACCTGTACATCTAGATGCTTCAGTGTCTGTTTAAAAGTGGCTCTAGATGCTGGTCTTCACGTCCACTGCTCCCTGATGAGCACAATTGATGCAGTAACACTATTTCCCCATTTCTAAGTTCTTCCCCAGACTTACCGAATCCACAAGATTCTCTGTTTTATCGATCAGCAACTCCAGCTTCTCTCCTCTTTGTGCCACAAGGTCTGGAGGAAAGAGACAAAAATCCAAATTTGTAGGTGGAATCCCAGAGCAAAAAGCTGCTTCCAATACCCAAGCCCAACTGCAAGCCAGGAGCTCTTGGCAGTAGCTTATTAGGCATCGAGTAGTTCTCAGCCCTTCAGAGACTGCCAGGCAACAGTACTTCAGGAACAGTCTCACATCACACAGGCTACGTTTTGGGACTGACCTGACTCAATTTTGGTCAATTCCAGATCCAACCCTCTATTTTAAGTGGTCAGACTTGTCAAAACCCAAACCAGAGTCTGACACGAGAAAAAACGTAAGCTACCAAGGAGCATCTTCCTCACAGCGGCTGCAGGAAAGTCAGAGTGACAAACAGACCAAACCCAGAGCATGCTTCACCCCATCACAAGCTGCGCAAGTTCATCTCAAACAGCGCTCCTCACGCCCACGTGCCGCCCTCAACCAAGTTCAACGCAAGTAACAGCTTGCAAACTCTGAGCTCCCCCCAGCCCCTTCTTCATCGGTTCCTTCTGTCAAGAGAGGCCACCCCACCATCAGCTTCACCCTCGGTAACTCTCCCTGCGGGACTGCCATTCTGGCCCAGAGGAACTCTGCACGCGTGGCACTGAGGGAAGCCAGATACCTATGTTTCGAACCATGATTCCTTTAAGTTCATCAATTTGAGCTTGCGTCTCTGCCACCTGGTCAGTGCCCTTGCTCTCCGAGTGGTATTTCTGTAACAAATGAATAGTCAGTGAAAGCAGGGACCCTCAGCGTTGCACTTCAGTTCCTTAAGACAAAAAAAGGAAACTCCTGGTCACTACAGAACAGCACAGACATAAACCTGAGTTTTCAAATTACCCGAGATAAGGGGGTGGTAGACCAAAATCTGACTCTCTCAGCCGCTTACAGATCACATGTGCCCATCTGCTCCTGCGCTGCAGGAGCTGCAAGGCAGCCAGGTGCCTGCAACTTCCAGAGTGCCCAGAAGTAACAGCCCCCTTTGAAAGTCTAAGCAACTGGCAGCAAGGAAGGAAAGTTAAGAGAAGAATCCGTGAGATATGGTTTACTAAATGCCTGGGCTACTATTGGTGGTCCCACTCCCACACATCATTTCTGAACTATTTATGAAGGCAACACGCTTTCATGACCTCCTCTACTTATCTCTAGAACATGTCAAGAGAGCCCTGCAATTTCACAAGCAAGACAGCACGCAGCCATCTCTGCAGGTGAGCATCAGAGGGAGTTCCAGCAAAGATGAGGAGGGCCTGTGAACTGGAAACACCGCACCAGGAGGTGCTGAAGACGGCCAGTTTGAGTTGCCTAACTGCTCTTCCTGCAGAGAGGATACGAGCAGCCAGGAGCCAGCCTGCTGTGTACTAGACCCACCTAGGGAGGACTTCGCACGCCACTTCCTAGCTACAGTCTGGCACTTGCCGACAGCTTTGCTGATACTGAATCCCTCCAGTGTATGACAGCAAGTGGAAAAAGCATGCACTAGATACCCCAGTGGCGTGCTCAGTGTCTGTATGGAGCAAGCTCACCTGCTACTTTGTCAGATACCTACAGAAGCAACACTCCGTCCTGTGGCCTCACAGAAGAAAGCCAAAAAACACGACACGTTGCTAACCTGCGCACCATTCCTGCCATCCCTCCCCCTTAATTCTCTTCCCTTCAGAAGTGATTAGGACTTCACTCAAAGACTGTTCTTCAGGTTTTGGGATCACAAGTGAACCTTTGGTGACTGCATGGTTCAGGCTGGTAGGTGAGAGAAGTGCTAGCCAACATCCCCAGGTTAAAAGGAGTCTCACAGTGTCTGCAGAATCAAAGGAGGGAAACTGAGGTGAAGTCAGCATTGGATAACTAAGTTCTGCTATTCCTGGATTGATTTTAAGTCACTGCTCTCATCACAGGTCCTTTGCAGTCAAGCATTGCTAGCCACAGCTCCTACTATCCCACTCCCTTTAAGTCACCTTCACCCAGGGAAACAGGGCTCTCTAGCAAAACTCACAGATAAACCGTTGTTTTCCCCTAAGCTTGTAGCCATTGCACTCCCATCTGAAGACCTTCACGAAGCATCTCTGCTTTCATAAGAGACCATCTAAGGAGACTGACAGCAGAGGCCAGGACTAGATCACGGTTGCTCTACTTCATGACCACCCACATGGCTACTTAAACCCCAATTTTCTTCTGAATAAGTGTTCGATTTGCATTCATTTCTGACAACATGGGAAGCAAGAGTCTCTAACACTAACAGAATTCACATACTCAGGTCATAATTAATGGTTATAGCACTGAATGCAACAGCTCCTTTGAACCTTTTCCTCAGAGGTTAGCTTTTTAGGAGAAGGTGCAGAACTGGCACGCTATCAAAGCTGGTCACTGGTTTTACTGGAAGCATAGCCTCCCTTTTCAGTATTATCTGTGCGCTACACTTGAGTTGTAGCACGATCTCTGAACTGCTAGATGAACTCTTCCTCCACCCTTGGCCTCACACTAGTTAAACTTCTTAAGTTACAGGAATCACCTAGATAACAGTCCTGCTCTTGCACTACATGCAATGTTTGATCAGTAGGGCTCTCGTCTCAGCAAGTTCTAGAGCCATTTTGCAGGAAGAGCTTTCCATCATCACTTAACTTCTATTAGTTGATGCCTGGATTTCTATCAATATGCAAAAGCTAAGGTAGGCAGCTCCTCTCATGCTTTAGAGAAATGGAAAGGCTGGGATTTTTAGAGGAATATCAACACCATGGCTCTGAAGACCGCCTGGCTCTTCCGATAAGGCAATTCATTAAGCTTATTCCAGCCATGAACAGCTTACGATTTGATGAGTCATGTGGAGACTGAAACTACATGAAGTGATATCAAAGCCCGGTGGAGAAGAAAAACTCAGTCCTATCACACACAGGAAGTTAATTAATTTATCATGCACAATGCACTGGGCCCTTCTGGAGCCACACTGGCATTATTATTCATTGTTCTCTATCTGCTGCATAAGCCAAAGAACAGTTTCTGCAATGAACTATGTGCAACTCTACGTGCTCCAAATCACCTCCGCTCGTCACTGAGGGCACCAACACAAACGGCTCCTTTCACAAACTCCAATACAAACTTCAGGCAGCAACAGTGCAAGCGCAAATTCTCACTTAACCTTCACCCACCTCAGAGTCGGGGCTTCACCCTGCACCTCAACATGCAACGATTACTGCTGGAGAGTGTTATAAAGCTTGCCCAGTTCCTACACTTACAGGCAAGAGCTATGCTCATGGGTCACCAGCAAAGGACCTCTCCTCCCACACCTGTAATATCACCAAACCTGGCAGTTCCAGTAGATCAGAAGGACAAAAGCCAAGCCCTTCACAGAGAACAACAGCAGCACTAACATGCTCACCAGCCACAGCAGAGCAAATCGACAGCCTCCTACTCCACGTGTACAGCACCCGTTGTAGTTGCCCCAGATACAGACTGTACAAGCTCTGAAAGCCAATATTCCAAGGACACCTTATCTAACCCTAAACCAACATTGCTCAGGTTACAAAGTTATCTGTAGTCAATTAAGGACTCTTAAGAGTCTTCAACAGAAGATTCAGAACACTTTCCTTGTAGACCACAGCCTGAGGTTTTGTGCACTAATAAGGCTATTGATCATATGAGTCACAGGACAGTTACTTATTCCTTCTCTATTTTCCATCTGACTTCATTCATTTAATTTGACGTTACATCTAGCAACAGTCCTGTGCTTTCCCCGGGCCTGTTTTCTCTGCAGGTGCTGGAAGTATACTTCTGCAGACCAACCAACAGGGAGAAGTGCGAACTGCAACATTCCCACTACATTAACAGCTCATATTTTTAAGAGCTGTTAAAAAGCTCTCTGCTTTTTCTCCTCCTCTCCCCCACCCCCCGAAGCAGGGCAAAGTGTTACTTGCAGACCCAGGTTACACATCAAGTCAACACTGCATCGAGAAAAAGTGCTCTGTGAAATGCATCTCATTCTATAGAGGGCTGAATGGAAACGCAAACACTACGCTGTGCACTTAAATACTTCAGAAGCTATACCCATATACTGCTGTCAATAAAATACATAAAGCAATGCAACTATTTCAAATCTCTCCTGTCTGGCAGCTGTGGGCTTTGCCACACCTCAAACACAATACACAGCAAGCAGAGCACTTTTGTGAAATGGGATGGTAGCATCAAGGCTGTATCAGATTCCCGTGGTAAGCAAAATAAGCACGTAACTCCTCTGCGCTTCAAGAGGGAAGCAGATTCCAGTCCAACCTTTCCCTTCAGAGTCCAAGAACAGACCCAAAATAGCTAGAATAGAGTCTTCCGAAACCTGGAAATTTCTTAAAAAGGAGATTGACAGTGTTCTGTATGTGCCCTAACAACAACATTCAGAACTCGGCTTTAGTTGAGCTGTCAACAGGGCCACTAAAATCAGACAGCACAAGCCAGAACACATCAGAACAGTGGTGCCGTGCCGTCCAGTTCCAGCAACTGAAAGCAACACGCTGCGTTGCCAGTGGGAAAGCTAGGACAGACTGCTCCCTTCTCACACCGCAGGAGAGGGGTGCCACTACAATCCCACCAGGACATCAGGCTGTGCCGGTATCAGGTAACCACTAGAGCAGTGGGCAAGAAGGTATCTCACACTGCAGGCAGCTCCCTGACAGCAGCTTTCCGCACTGCAGCTCAGCTTGCAGCACCGCACCGTACCAAGGCTCCCTGTCCCACAGCCCTCCACGTGCTGTTGTTCAGTGCCTGCATAGACCCTGCTGACATGGGCTTCATCTTCCTTCCAGACTGGAATCATACTGGTGGAGCAACTCATCTTGCAAAGACTACAGTGCCTACAGTCCCTAGACTTGGAATCCAGCATCGTCTAAACACCGCTACAGCCTCAGCTGAAAAGTGCAAGTTGAGGGCAAAATAGATACTCCCCTCACTTCTGTAACACCCTCACACTTTTAGTTTTGGGGTTGGAAGGGTCCAAGGCAAATCTCAGCTCAGAGAAGTGAGAGGCAGTTAGGGCTTACTGGATACTCAAGTTCTGATGTTCAGTTTAACAGAAACGGAGTAACATGCGTTTGTCTTGCTCTCAGTGACAGTGATGTTAGCTTGCACTGGATGGTCAACTGGAACTAGGTTTGACATTTCAAACGTCACCATCAAGATCTAATCGCCAGTGCAGCTACCTGGTACAAACAGTTAATGCATCACTATTAACCCCAACACATTTTTACCACCGAAGTAGCGAAGCAACCCAGCTGCAGGGTAAGCGTGGGGAGAACAGCCAGCTCCCCTGGCTTTATACCCAGATTCAGCATGGCGCTTCAGTTCCGAGTGAGAAAATACAAGGAGAATTTCTGGGGAGAAGTTTAGCTTGTTAGGGAAATCCCATTTAGCAACAGATCTCACCAGCTGTGCAGCTAAGACGCTTGAGAACTCGCTGTTCATTGCATAGGGAAGGGCTGTCTGTGCTCTTGAGCCATATGTGGTCTGAAACCTCTTCTTGATTTCATTCAGGAAGTTGAAGGCTCTGGATCGTTCAAAGTCCTGGAAGGAAGAGAGCAGACCGCGTCCAGAGCTGCGTCAAGTCAGGAATAACGAAGTGTACGGGGCAAGTAGCCAGTTGTAGAGAAACTGTAATCATCAGTCCTTAACAGGCACGCTGCACATAACACTATGGGATTCGACTGGTCATCCTGGGGTTTGAATAGCAGCCAGATTTCAGCCTCGGCTTCCTGGACATTGGTGGGCAGCAGACTTTACTGGGGTATCCATAGTTCTAACTCCGTGCCTGGTACCTTTTTCCAGTGAGGGAGAAGTTTTTGCTTTGACACTTCCAGAATTGAGGAGTATTACGCGTATTTCACTGACAATTAAAGGCTAGCCCCTACATCTAGATTCTACTGCACTGGGGCTGCTAAGAGAGAAACTAGGTAAAACCAAGAACTTAAGCTCAAAACTAACTGTTCACGTGCATTCGAGTTCCAGGCTTACACTTCAAAGCTGTAACTGATGTGAATGAGAACACAAGGAGTAGCTCCAATGGGAAAAAAAGGCACCTCAGATTAGCACCCGCTATGGATTTTCTTTGACATACAGATACAAAAAAAGCCAAAACCTGCAGAGAGCCTGTCTGTGCAATAGCTGTAACCAAAATACTTACATCATCTGTAATGCAGAGGTATATAATCCTGTCTTGGCAGATGTAATGAAACAGATAACTGCAGAGAAGAAAAGAGGAAAAAAAAAGGTCATTTGGAGCTGCCACAGGACTAATCTTCTAGAAGACACTACTGCCTGCAGGGCCTTCAAAGGCTGGAGAAGTAGAGGAGCAAATTCGTTACTCTACAGGAAACCACACAGATGCCAACATATCCCAGCCATCTTTGTTGAGGTAAGCGTCTCCACTCCTATAAGCAACAATGAATTAGAAATGACCTACATGTTAAAGAATCACTGGCCTCACATACCTCACAGCACTCCATGCTTAGCAAAAACTTTGTGGGACACCTAGTTGCCAAACAACTTCAGGTCCACGTTCTTCCAGCTACTTACTTGTAAAAACAAAACCTTGACAGGATACCCAGGGGTAAGATTTAGGTCTAATCCTAATCAATGTACATACAAGCATCCATGCACTAGTTCACATGTGACAAGAGCTGCAGTTAATCGGAGTGACCAGAAAGTTTATACTTTAGTGAACCTCGCTGCTGCCGTGACTTGCTTCTTTAGCCTTGTTTGTATGACCACTGGGTTGCGCTGCCCTTGGTTTTCATTGCAAAGGCTGAGAGACAAAAGCAACCACAGCAGAAAATGAATTCAATAGAACAATAATCAGGCTAAACAGGCCTGAATCATGTGGCTACGTTAACTATTCGTTTAAAGATGCCTTCAGTGGTGCTGAGCGAACGCAGATGTTAGTTAAATGGAATTGTCAGTATCCTGAAAAACAGTGCAAACCAGTTCAAAGCAGTATTTTCCTATCAAAATTAAACCAAGCTGTTATTTTAGGCTCACCAGAAAAAAAACAAAACAAACCTTTAGTTCATACACAACTAAACCCAAACCAGAACTGATCAGGGCATTCTAGTTCAACTCACTGGCTTTAGCTGTTGCTTTTTTATTACATTGCTCCCTCACCACCATTTGATGCTGTGGTGTATTCTTCTGATGAGTACAGCAGGAGAAAATAGGAATAGAGTTGCAAAAAGGCCACATAAATACTTTTTTTTCCCCCCCCTAATTAAAAACTTTATGTATCCTTTCACTTTGACATTTGTATATTTCCAAAAGATTCCCCAATAAGCATGTGGACCCTCTTACAAACTCCAGAATAAAAGCAAGTTAATGCACGTGCTGCACAGCAGTTGCCTCGTACAGCTCTAAGGGCACAGCTCAGTAGCTTTCAAAATCAGGTTTTGTATTATATAAATAAGAAGACACTGAAATAAGCTTTAGGGGTGGGCTAGAAGTATCATTTACTGCCCTGAAGGTCTGTTCTCATGAAAAGAAAAAAAAAAAATCCCTGCATATCCACAACTATTGCCCCTCCTTCCTGGAAGGAGAGAGGTAAAGCTTGTCCGGTACTACCTTGTAGGCTCCCCAGTGACTTGTAGAAGAATCTTAACAGCAGAGACAGAATAAGCCCAAGAACTCCTGATGCTACAGGGCTGGTTTTCCTTGGAGATTATATAAAAGACACAGAAGTTCTTCTTAAAAACAAAAAGAACTCATTAAATGAGTTTGTTTGAATTTCTTGAAGTTAAAAGAAACTCAGTTTTTTTTCCTGTTTCAGAAGAGGAGAAACGAACCTAGACAGACAGATAACAGGGCAATTTTTTAGCCTACAGGCTGGGACCCCGGCAAGGCAGAAGGATCCCTGAAACCCTACAGACACTAAGAACGACAACTCCTTGTGCTCACTCAGCTTCGCAGCTTTCACGCTCTGCCCAGTTATGATGGTCAAGGGAAAAGAGAGGCTGTTCTATATGCCTACAAACCAAAACCCTTGCTTTTTGACAGCAGGAAGAAGTTGCCAGCTCCAAGCACGTGTGTGTGAAAATATTCAAGCCCCCCCAAACAGATGGCTTAGGAACCCTTCCCTCCCCTCTCCTAGAGGGAAGGCAGGGTTGGCAGATTCTGACCGAAGAGGTGGTTGTCCAAATCATAGAAAAAAGCCAATGTAAGACTTGTCAGAAGAGACCAACTTTAGCAGAGGAGACACTCTGATGCAGCCCAGAGCTGCAGAATGGCACCTGTATGTTTTAATAGAACAATGCAAAGCAGAACAACCACAAACTGCAGTGATCTTCTGCCACATTTGTTAAATCCTCATCAAGGAAACAGTCAGTAATGAGCAAAAGATTGTACACTTCGCAGCATGCTTTGCAAGCGTAGATGCATTAGTTACCTATCTCTCAGTGCTCCCCAGCGAAGAGCAAAACCAATCTCTAGCACAATTCAAGTTTTCATCTATAAAAATGCACTACGGCACTCTTAAAACTCAGCTTTGTAGCTGGTTGAACAGCACTCGAGGCAAAGTTAGAACAAAAGAAAGTAACTGTACCCTTAAAATTACAGTAGAAAAAAAAGATTCAGCATCCAAAGTACTTTAGACCCAGGGCAGACAGCTTCTTCAGAAAGCTCTCCCCCATGGACTTTTAGTGCTCCCAAGCCAGGGAAAGATGCGGGAAGACTACCCCAATTCTTATCTCTTGAATCCTCGGGCAGCCAAAACAGCTTTAACACAACAGCTTGGGCAGTATTGAGAATCCAGCCACACTGGCAATTCCAAAGACAGAGCTGAAGTGGGGTCCAACGCATCTAAATTTGCTTTCTCCACAGTTCCTTCTTTAGTTGCACACAAGCACATTGACTTACCTACTGTACATGTGCAGTAAGTCAGCACAGTCTCGGGCGATGTAACATCTAATTCCTCCATTCTATCAACATTGACCGAGGGCTGTTCAGAGATCTGTACAAGCCTGGGAAAAATCCTTCTGTCCCACAGACAGGATTTGTGGTAGCTCAGGATGACTCTACAACATCTGCCAGCACGACTTAAAGCAACCAGGATCCACAAGTGATCTGAGAAGGGTGACATTTTTACCTAAAGCCATGTTCAAGCCTCAGAAAAGCCAGTAAAAGACTCCACGAGCCAAATACCAAAGACTCCAACAGTTTGATATCCACAGCTGAGCATCCTCCAACTCACTGTGGACTTGTATAAAAATAGAAAACTTGATTTCGTATCAACTACCTTGGTACTTATTGCTTAAGCTAAATTCAAATCCTGATTATGCTGCAAAGTTCTGGGGAAAAAAAAATAGCTACTACTGAGCTGACTGCACATTCAATCAGCATACTAACACATCCAAATATGAGTTTGGCTACACTCCATTTATTCCTATCCTTGTGCACGTTCACTATTCTCTCCTCCCACACTCAGAAGAGAAGCATTACTCACTTCCCATGTGAATAGGTCAGTTTGTTGTTTTCAGATGGTATTTTCGCCAGGATCTGCTCTGTCACCTCCAGGAAGTTTCCTCCACACCAGGCGTGTTTGGCAAGGATGGTTGTGCCCCTCGCCACAACAGCGAACAGGATAGCCATGACTTCACACTACCTGGAAATAAAAACACTGCAAGAATTAGACTCGCGTTCTTTGGCAGAGAAAGCATCATAATCTTAACAGTATTCTCTCAGCCCTCAGCATAACGGGAGGGAGGCATAAGCTTGTTAAATACTTCGACGGGATACCATTATCAGAAAGCTTCTCTCATTTCCCCTTTTAGGTTCTGTTCAGAACACTACCAAGACTACAATAACCTCTAGAAGGAGGTTCTTCTTACTGCAACTGCACGGTGTCCTACAGTCAGCGATCCCATAATGAATTTTGCCTACCTTGTTTCCACCTAGATTTCTAACTATTAGTACATTTTTTTTTTTTTTGCTCTTCAGCTGGCCCTTAACTTTCTTCTTGCTTGTTATTGAAAAAACTGCCTGCAGCCAGCAAGCTCCAGTTCAGAAAGGAAGTAAGTGACTTGCAGCTATGTTAACAGCAGCGCATTATACAGACCAAGCCCACCATCCCTAACACATGACTGTTTAGGGGTGAGGCCTTGGCTTTGATTGCTATCAAACCAAAACAGAAAAACTGCCACTTGCTTAGAGTCACACCATATACGTCCCCTTTTAATGGTCTAGAGACACTCACTAGGCGTACATTGTCCCAAGACTTCTGTAAAAGCACATAATCTGCACTTCTCAAAGCGAGACAGCACATGTGTAAACAGATTATCCTCAGCATCACACCATTTCTACAAGCCAATATTCTTGCATACATATCAAACTGGACAGGTTACAGCGTGCAAGCATTTGAGGGCCAGACTTCTGTGAAGTCTCCAGAGTTGGAAAAACATGCCTGCTGTCATATAAAGGGACACACTTAATCAGCTCAAGTATCATCACATTAATCTACTGACAGACCCAAGATTTAACATGTGAAACCACATGTCAGACCACAGCTGTGACATCTGCTCGGCTGATCCAGTACATCCATAAGCCTCTTTTCTGCTTAGGAAAGGCTTAGGGAGACTTTTGACCCTGAAAAAAACAAAAATCTTATTTTTCACTTTGCACTTGACTGCCCTCATATTGCCTGCCTCGTTTTGTGTCTAGAAACGTCTGCATTCTGGCTGGAAAGATCACACACCTATTTCAATGCAGCCAAGTCGCTTGGAGACCTCCCTAGAAATAGGTACAACAGCAGAGAAGCAGTGGTTTAGCTTCAGGATCCAAAGACCACAGGCAGAAAGGCTGAACACGGACAATGCCCAGCCAGACGTTCCACCCCTCTGGCACTGACTGAAGTGACCTATCGATCTCTTCTGTATCAGGGGTCAGTCCTACCGAGCACTGTGCAGACAGATCTGCCCTGAAGAGCTTATGCTTTCATGTGAACTGATGCACAAATGATCACGGCAACAGTGGAAGAGGTGGCGGAGAAATGCAGAGCTGTTAACAGGGCCGTGAAGTTGCGATACAATCACTGCGATGCCCCACCGCATCGGGGCTCACTTTGTCGGTCTGAGCTTGACAGATTCAGGCTTGGCCAGCAACGATCAGGTTATCTCCCAAACCTCCCACAGGTTTGAGCGCTCAACATTGGAGGGGAAAAAGAATAAACTTGTGGATTTATTCAGAAAATAGACTCCACGGCTAAGCTATAACCACCTGGGAACACTGAGGTATTCGGAGCCAGCACTGCCGACGGGAACAGAAGGCAAAGGAGGAGTCTGACAAGGGGCCACAGCAAGCAAAGCGGGAAGCAGAACAGTAAGAGGTCTCAAAGGACACTGCTTTGGAGCACAGCACCCAGCCAAGCGCACTCTAGAAAACCTGAGAGAGTTCATAGTGCCAGTAAAGGGGAAGGGAGAACACGCCAAAGCCTCACACCATGCAGATCCAAGTTCCTAGACAAGCTGTTCTCCTTTGCTCTTCCTGACTAGTAACACAACAAAAGGGCATCAATAACTGAAGGGGGGAGGAAGCACCAGAGCACTCAGCAGCAGCTCCCCCAAAAGAGATTTGCCGCTTTCACTTCCTCCTGGCCTAAAGCTGGCACTCCTCCAACCCATATATGTGCCCCTGCACTTCTACCGAGGGCACGGGGGAAGCCCCTCGTGCTGCTTTGCACAGCTTGCTTCTTGTTTCCCCTGTCTCGGAGCAAGATCTGTTTTCAGAACAAAGGCAACTTGTTGCGTTTACTTGCTGCTCTTTTTGAGACGACAACTTCCCTTGTCCTCGCTCACTGTGTCCAAGTATTTACACACCACTTGTTTCCCCACCCACGACTCGCATCTAGATGTCAACCTGATCTGGACATGTCTCAGGGATTTAAGCAAACAGGATTTACATCCGGCTGACACACTTGCACAAAATCTGCTAGGAAAAAGGAAGGTGAAGAGTGCCCACACCAGCAGACCCTCTTTCACTACTGGTGAAGGCATCGGGGTTTGCAAGGAGCTGTTCCCCCACCCTGTACCCCTCCCTTCCAGACTGAAGCAAGTTCGTTCCAGCTCATTTAAAAACGTGGGTACAAAGAGGTGACAAACAGCTAGGTTTGTTTTTGTTTCCTCCCACAGTCACAGGTATGCTGGCTTGCAGGCTCGCAACTGCCCTCTAACATCAAGCCTGTCAGCATTACAGGAAAAAACCCCAAGTTCTTTTATATCTAAGAGGAGATAATCTTTAATCACAAGGACAGGTGGTGCTTATTATGGTCAATTAAGCAATGCCAGTGTCCACCTGAAGATGACTGTGGAAGTTACAGAACAAGGAAAAGCAAGGGTGACAGTTTTCCCCCTTACACACTTTCTAAGGAAACTCCTCAGCCCAAAGATACCCCAGGAGAAAGAATGTAAAGCAGAGAAGAAAGTCGTGATTACTCACTATAATACAAAAACGAAAAGAAAGTTCAACAGCAGAAGGAAGTTCTTCACACAATGCATCCTCTGAAGCTCCTTCCCACATGTTATCATGTAGGAAAAGAGTTCCCATGAGTTCAGAAAGCAATTGACAAGTTTACGGAGGAGGAGAATCACTATTACACAAATACCACCCAAGCAGCCGCTCACTGGAGCCTAAGAGTTTATCACGAGTTTCTTCTATTCTCCCACTCTTCCCTAGGCACCCCACCAGTCACCACAGAGCCAGACCCACCTTTGGTCAGACTCAGTACAGCCATTCGTAACACTGAGAATCACTTACTCCACAGAAGTTCAGGGTTTTTTTTTTTCCAGGGAGAAGTACTATGAAGAGCAAGCAATAACTTCAAGCAGCAAAGCAGGTGGCCCGCCAAGCCAGATCCAGCCCCAGTCGAGGTTATGACTCTCACAGTACTTGAGCTTTAGGGCTGCTCCTGCTCACCACACTGCTCTTCTCCTACAGGAACAATTAAGAGTTACACAAAGGCCTACGAAGTCCCAGCGCTCCCAGTTTAGAGCAAATGCCTTAAAGGAGTTTAAAAACACGCTTCCAAGGCATCCTATCATCTCTTGCAACGCTTGAACTACCAAGAACATCACATGACAAGCAGAGAGCCAAGTCATTGCAAAGCCTCTTAGAAGCCCGACCACAACCTTTTCCTTCCAGCATCGCTGAACCAGCCTGCCAGATCACATCTCGCCGAGAGTGTTTTGCAGCTGCCCCGCTACAGAAAATCCAAACTTCCTTCTAGAAAGCTGTATCTAGAAGAGCCCACAGACTGGTCAACCTGCATACACACAAACCATTCGGGGGTGCTGCCAGCACCGAGCTCTCTGACATCCTGCCACAGAAGACTTACGTGGCCAACCTAGCAGAGATGGCTGCTTTTTTTTTTTTAAGCCAGCCTTAAATTGCTGCATCAGCCACATGTTGATTGCATTAGAGCAGGAAAAGTAGTCACAGATTCCAGGGATATTTTGCTGCCTTGGGCCTTAAAAAACTGCTCTCAGCTCTTCAAAGCACAGTGCTACAGACATAGAAGTCTGAGGGTCACAAAGTGGGACTCTAGTGCTCTAAGTCAAGACTCACCTACCTCTAGTTAAACACAAGCTGAGTAAGTTACTAATCACAAGTGCCCCCTCCACAGAGCTGAAGAGACCAAAAGCTTTAGCCTGGTGCTCACAACATCATGTAAGATAGGAGTATTTGCACACAGCATTGAGCACAAGTGGGGATTACTCAGAGCTAAAACATAAAGGAATGAGTAACTCCTTGGAACCTTGGAGCCGCTACCTCCACCTGAAGAAGCTGAAGCAGAAGAGAAGCCAAGCAAAAAATCCAGACCCAACATGTTTATAGACAGGTGAAACAAAACTAAACCTTGGATAACTCAAGTTAAATGCTTATCACACCAGAGACAAGGGCAGCCATGCAGCTGATTCTGATCTTACAAAAAGAAATGATTAACTGCCACGCAACTGTTCCTAGTTTCTCCTGATTAAAGAGACAGCAGCTCACTCCTGTCTGACAAGGCTACAGAGAGAGCACAAACATTCTCCCAGCAAAAAAGTAATACCTGTGGCAAAAAAAAAATTCAACTGTCCAGTCCTTCACAAGTGACTCTCTCCAAGCTTAGACTCATCCCCTATCCTACACCTTAGCTTTGACTGATTTAGCCAGAAGATGCAAACTACACAAACTGCACTTTATTCTGTTTTCTACTCACTCAACACCTGATCTCTTCAGGTGCTACCGACCCTAGTTTTCCTAACAACGAGGAACTGCTGAGCAGCACAAGTCAAAGAATTTGTGAACAGTTACTACAGCACGCTGATCTGCAACAATACTAACTAAACCAAGAGGAATTCATTATACAGTCACGTCCCTTCAGATCCACCAAGATACAGCCGTCTGCAGTGTCTCAGCCAGTCCAGCAACTGAACCAGAACCGTGCCGGTACGTGGTACACCACCAGGTCACAGCCAGGAATAAACAAACACGGCTAAGCCTCTTGAGCAATCAGGTCACTGTCAAGGATCAAGAAACCAGTCTCATCACATTGCAGTCACTCAGCGCACAGGACCAATATAAAGGAGCAGTTGTAAAAGAAAAAAAACATCCACCAACTCTCCCGCCGCCACACACACTGCAAAGGATCAGCAGCCTGCAAGGCAGTGAGCGACTAACCTCAGAACTACAAAGCCCTCACAAGCGAAGAGACACCCTAATTCCCTGAGCAGAACTCCTCCAGGTTCAAACTGAGAATTATAAAGTGGTTTAGACAACAAGTCTCTGTTCTGGAGAGAGATATTTGCAAATATCTATCCAGTATTCTGCAAATACTGGATATTTGCAGAACTCATACTGGTGAGGTGAGAGTTCAATAGTACCACAGGTAAGGTGGTATCCTACACACTGTAGGATCCCCCGCAGTCCTGTGACAGCAAGGAAATCAACTCACCGAATTCAGTCCTCAGCCTTACTTAGGAGACAATAGCCATGTACTTTGCAAGGACACCTGCCCCCAGCTTTGAGCAGAATGGATTAAATGAAGACAGATTAACAAGGGGCATATTTCCCTCTATAAGCAGCGTCTCATGCAGCCCTGTAGGACTCACGTATTGCTTTTGTTAGTAATACAATCTATTAAACTGCTAGAGAACATCCCTCCTCAGAAGTTACAAGAAAGTCAGGAATTAAATCAATTAAAATCAACCCCTTTGTATAACCTAGAGATCACAACTGTTTTCTATCTAAACTTACAATATTGAACAGCTGGAAGCAGCCAAGACCAAACCTTCCTAAAAGAAAAATTCCCTTAGAGATATCAGGTAGGCCTTGCATGGAAAGGCTCCAAATCAGGAGGCAAAGGGGGAAAAGGCTGCATTCCTCAGCCACCCAGAAACCACCACGGTTCCAAAGAGCTCCTTAAGCACTGCCAGAAGCATTTGGCAGCTAACAGAGATGAAGCACAAAGGTGAGTCGAGTATTGCATTTGTATCGCAATGGCTGTTTACTCATTGCAAGTCACTGCAAGATGCAGCGTGCTGCTGTCTATGAGGTCTCTCATGGTATGTGACAGAAGGGCACAGAAAAACCTGCAGCATCTTAAAGAATGTCAGAAACACAAGTTCAGTCTTCAACGTGATGTTTAAAACTTCAGTAGGGATGATTTACTATTTTCAAGTGAGACACGAAACAACTTGTTTGTTGCTCTGACTTCACTGAAGATCTAGAATAAACTATCGGACGGCAGTTAAGACATCTGGGGCAAGAAGCGAACCCAGAAAACTGCGCCCACCCTCTATGAGCAGTGCTGCCCTTGCCAACCAAGGGGGACTCGTCGGTTCTTCTGCTCGACTGGAAGATTCACAGCCTCGGTGCCAACAAGCGATGGAGGAGGTTACTGCTTATATTTCCAGAAATCCTCTTTACAGAAAGCAAGGGGCATCGCATTACTACTGGCTTTAAACGTGAAACAAGTGTAAGTGTTGCAACCCTGCAAGTTGCAAACTGCCTGACTGCAATAAGACGATCACCGAAGTACGGTGACTTCAGCAGAAAGCAGCCTAGACTTCCCTTTAACCCTTCCTTGGCATCTGCAGGTTGTTGTTTCTTTAAAGGACATTCCAGCATTAAGCCCCGTAGTTTATTTGTTCATTTTAAGCCTGAGAAGCATGACATTCATGCACCAACTTAACGGAAGTTTAGCATCCCCTCTGCCCGCGTAGCTTACTTCAGGTACCTCCGCTTCATCACGACAGAAACAAATCGCTAGGTAAGATTAATCCGGTTTCTCCTCCAGGCCCCCCACCTTTTCTGGAGGGCGGCGTAACACCTTTTAGAACGGGGGGGGGGAAGACAGAGGACAGGGCAGCTATTGAACGAGCAGCTCTCTAGAGAGGCGACGCGTACACCCTAAAGCGTGCGTGCTTACAGCATGCCCCCCGCACCCCGCGGGCCTGCAGCTACTGCCCGCCATCCCGCCTCCCGGACCCGCGCAAGC